CACGACCAAACTGTCGTGAAACTTGCTGTCTTTACCTACAAAATTTCGTGAAAGTCCAAGCTGACATTTCACGGTCCCTCACGCGTGAAAAGTCGATAAAATTTCCCCATGGGTCAAGGGGGAAAGTACGGAATCCTGAAATCCTGAAATGCTATGGAATCTAGTAGAATCCGATGGAATCTGATGGGCTCCGATGGGATCTGGTGGATCTCGATAGAATCCGAGATTCTACACTTCTCCCGAAACAGAACAAAAGTGTTCGATATTTGGGGAAACTTTTCTCAAAAACGGGACGAAATGTTCTGTTTTGGATTTCAGAGAATCCAAGGGAATCTTATGGATTCCAAGAGAATCCTGGGGAATCCGAAGGAATCCTATAGAACCATAGGGAATCCAGGAGAATTCAGGATTCCGTGCTTTCCCCCTTGGATATAGTTCATTCGTATCGATACTTACTACCACGGATCATTCATCTAAACTTGACCAATCACGCTTGTTACTTCTAACACTAGTAAGTTTTTGTATCACACATTCTACACTCTTATGAATGAGAGAAAATGATGTTTTGTTATACATTCTGCAAAACAGTAACACAAAAATTGAGTTGAATCAAACAGATTTTCCAAAGACTGAGCCTAACACTCAGTTTTTGGAACGTTTCTTTGTACTTTTGCACTGTTATTATAGAGAGAAATCCAAATTAGGTAAATCCTACATTTTTGAGTCTGCTAGGTCGACTTTAAGGGAGAATAAAAATCTTTTTGTATTTAGAGTCTTGTTAACAAATAAACATAAACTACCCATGTAGTCAAAATTGGTAATAAATCAACGATTTTCTCGATTGATAGCAATTAATCGACGAGTTTTTAGTTTAACAGTTAATTGAGCTCCTCGGTTCAAAGCTAACTCAAATTGAAACAATGAGTCAACTTTGAGGAAACTACAGAGAACAGTCTTGGCAATTCCGTTAATGGCTTAAAATCAACAATTAATTGCAATTAATAAAGACCATTATTAAAAGAACAGAAAAATTACCGTGATCGCTAATTAATCATAATTAATTTGCGATGTTTTTAACAATGGCTCTATATCGATGGTTTTTAACAATTATTATCCATTTCAAAAAAGAAAGACCATGGCCCTTTGTTTAATTACTTTTTCTAGGATGCAGCTACGGAGCTGCGGTTTTCACTAGTCGAAAGAAAAATGGTGGGGCAATAAGAAAAACAAAAAATTATTGTCCCAAAATTATCTGCAGGTGGTGCACCCTGCTAATATATTTTGCGAAAGATGTCACACTACTGAAAAAGTTTCAGATTTTAACTTTTGAGACGACAGGCAGGTAGCCCGGACTGGGATATTCGTTTCTAGAGTGGTCCCAGGTCGTTAGCTTACAAGGTTCCGGAGACACGCTGACCCGGTCCGGACACGTCGGAAGATCTCGGAAAGACTTGAAACATAGGTTACCGAATATGTTGATCAACGTGGCAATTTTTGACTAGAAGTTGATCCAAGGTCATCAGGGTATTTTTAATGAAAAAACGGATTTTTGTATGAAGCCTGTCAAAACTAGAGTTGCGGTATATCAGCCATTTTAAGTCAGAAACACACTAAAATTAAAACACTTAGAATAGTGTATTGATGCTGAACGAGCTCTCAAATATGAGATTCAGCGGGTTTAAACGTCAGAGGGTTTCTGGAAACCTCCTGTAAAACCTTAGCCTGGAAAACCCACAATTTTGCAGTTTTACAAGCGCTATCTGATTTATGGTCATTTTTCATATATCTACCGAAAATCTGGTGTGTTTCTGACTTAAAAGGGCTGATATACGACAACTCTAGTTTTGACAGGCTTCATGCAAAAATGCTACATGCTACATCCTAGAAAAAGTTATTAAACAAAGGGCCATGGTCTTTCTTTTTTGAAATGGATAATAGTGATTTTTCATGCAAGCCGATTAATCACCATTTGTTTAAAACTGCCGATATATCGCAATTTATGAACGATTATAGTCATCTTGCGATCTGATGGAGTGATAATAAAGAAGTAAAAAATATAAAAGAAAGGTTAAAAACAGGCGCATTCTTTAAGAATGAAACGACCGAAAAAATATGTGCAAGAAATAAAAGTTTATCAGCAGAGAGAAAAGAAATGGTGGGAATATGGTAATTGAGTTGAAAATTCTAGAGACACGCTAAAAATTTTATATCGGTAATATTTTATAACTAAAATATAATAGAGTTAATTGCACGATTTTATAGAAAAATGGATTCGACAGAAATTACGATTTTAGTCAGAAAGATGAATTGATCACACTCAAGTAAAAACTATATGTAAAATGTGTAGTCTTACGAGTGAACATCGCCAGCTGTCTCACTCCGATTTCGATGATCTTTTGCCGACAGATACTATATAGTGTCCTAGTGTTAACCTTAAAGGAATTTGGTTGCATGGCTCTTCTTTCAAAAGTTACGAATTTTTTAATTTCACTTGTACAAGGCGTACTATCAATTATTAGAAAATTTATATCTCAGTCAAAAAAGGTCTTTTACACACTAATTAATGCTATTGTGTATAATAAACAAGATCTTGGTAGATCCGTCTCTGTCTCGCAGAAATGTGCGGTTTTTTATTGGAGGAATCCTCTAGATTTTTTAATTTCTTTAGGTAAAGTTTGTAAACTTTCGATTGTGGTAGTTAGATGTACAGTTGTTTCGCTCGGAGTATTCATTTAATCAGAATAAAATGTTTAGATAAAGTTTGTACGCCAACTTCTTTGAGGGTTTATGTACGGTTAAAAACTCGAGTAAATAAATATAAGTAGATATGCATTAATCAAAACATCTCCTAAATACGCTCTTATCATAACCGAATAATAGTTTTTGATTTACATTAGATATAGATATAGAGAAAAAATCCATTCCATCTGCACATAGAACGCTCTACACGTACGAACACCCAGTACAGCGAACAGTTTTTACTTAGTGATGAATCACATAGTATAGCAATCATCATATATCGACGATTGTTTAATTACCATTTGTGCGCCTATGACTAGGATGATAAAAAGGCTGGCCAATATAAGTTAATAGAGAAAAACACTGTTTTCGACATATCTCCCGAACCGTAGCTTGTACAAAGTTTCGGCCGTAGAAAGGGCACAACTACATGATATAACAAACATAAAGTCCGAAGGAATCATATTGATTAGATGAGGTGTAGGTGCTCGTCACAGTACCATCAAGGTCTGCCTCTTGTGCGTTTTTAAATTGTCGGTTTTACTAAAAGCTTGACCTCGGCTTGAGCTATAGTTCTGCTATAGTTGCGAGACAGCATAAAAAAGAGAAAGCGTTCATGAGTGAGATTCACATTCGCCCCTTTGAAGTGGAAATTCGAGATATTACTACTGCTCTACTATGATGTACTACGTCTATATATGAGGATTTCCCGATTTTATTCGATTCTCATTGCTACCTAAACAGAAGAAAAAAATCGTGAAGGGGGCGCTTGCAGCTACCTGTCTCAATTTTTAACCGGTCAAAGCTAGCTTAAGTCAGTTGAAACTGGAGCTAGCAGTGGGCACTTACTCGGCGCAGCTAGCTATTTGCCCCAAAAAATTTACGATTAAGCGAGCGCTTGAGTTAAGCTAGATTTCCTCGCTTACTTTTTTCTGCCTTGGATAACAACTTTCAGATTTTTTTCACACACTTTCACGTAACTAGCTGCCCCGGAAAGAAATATCTGAGCCATAGCTGAAGTGAATGTTAAGGGTAACTGTGGAGTGAATAGTCGCTATATCCTTCTCAGGGGCAGTCATCTTACGTCCCATCTGTGACTCGGCGAGCTATTTTACTAGTATTCGCTTCTCTTACATCACTGGCTTAGCTTCCAACGATATCACCTGATCTGTACACAATCAGCATCCGGACGGATGTTTGGCGAAAAAGTAAAGGCATTTCTTCTTCTATTTTCGTGCATTGCAAGGTAAAATTTAAAATGCTAACTATCTATCGCTGTAGATAATAAATTTTTATCTTTTTTTAAATGATGAGAAAATTCTAGGCTGTAAAAACGATAAGTATGATGGAAATTTAATTTTTTCTACGTCTGGTCTTTCAAATTTTGAACTTCTAAAAACTTGAACTTTTCCACATAAAGTCATTTTTTTTCCTTCGAGAAAAGCATTTTTATTTAAAACCAATGTGATATTTCCAATCAGTGTAAAAATTGCATCAGATGATGTAGTTCTCAAACATTTTCTAAGAATACTTCTTCTCAATCGAGAAATTACCCGGACTCTCGTCAGATGTTTTTAATCAAAAACTAACTTATTTCAAAATAAGTTTTGTTCTTGCAAGAATACAGTTCATTTTAAAAGTCATTTTAAGTCAAAAATATAATATTTCCGATAGTAAAAAGCTTGGTTCGCCTGTCTGACCAAAAAATATCAACCTGTGTGTGCGGACACACTCAAAATCGCTGTAGTCAGTTACTGTGTTCTTCTCACTGACGTTATGGAAGAAAAAAACAATTCATATTTTTTATGGGTTATTATTTATGAGCAACACGTAAAGATATTGAATTTTCTGGTCTTTTTTCGCAAAACAACTGAGATTTTTAGGACTGAATGAGATTTTTCACCTCCGATCACGTCACATGATAGATTTAAAAGTCAATAAGTCGTTCAGTTTAACATCCACTGTCCAACAGCACATGTAATACAAACACCAATAATATCCATGCATACTTGAATCGTAGGTCCAGCATGTGCTGGATCTAGACCGAATATTCGATTAAAAATCAACGGTAAACATGTACCGAGAACAATAGATATTGTAACAATTGAAAATAGAGCTAGTGAAATCGTTAATGATATTCGTAATTCACCCTTTTCTTCTATTAAAACACGAATAAAACCCACCAAAGTAATTAGTGTACCTATAAACAGAGCTGCTAAAGTTTCATTGAATAATAGCTTCGCCAGTTTATATCGAGTTCCCACAGATAATTGTCGAATCATTAACACAGCTGCTTGATTTCCTAAAATAATTCAGAATGAGAGGTTAGGAAACAAATATTAGATAATAAAATGGGTGAGTTATTTGAAGACGAAAAATCATGAGTTTATACCTGCATTACCACCACTACCAACAAGCATGGTCAGATACATTGTAATTTGTATATGCTTCGAAATGAGATCAGAAAATGAACCCAAGATAAAGGATGAAAACGATTGAAATATGAGTAAAATTCCAAGTAAGATAAATCGATCGAAATTTGATTTTACAAAAGATGTTGATGTTGGTAGCGAATGTTCTTTCGATTCGTCTCTATCTAATTTTGATCGTATATGATGTTCATACTGTTTTAAATCTTTCGATGATAATTGAGATAAATAATGTTCAAATTGATCGATTGCTTTCGATAATGTCACAGACTGAGGTTCGCAAACTTGATCATCTTTTTGGACATTTCGCCGTCTCATGCTCGTCTCGTTATCCATATCTAAAAGAGAAAAATATAAAAATATACAGTAATTAGGGTTTGGTAGTAGTAAGAGTTGATTAGTTCGGGTTAAGAAATACTTTTTAAAAATTATTATATTAAAAGTGAATTTCAGTTTAACCTCACTGTTAAGCGACTATAGATTCACTCACAATTAAAACGACTATAGACTCAATTATTGTTGATTCCTGTCTGGCATGCAGACATTCTTCTTATAGCAAAATTTTTTTTATTTGTTTTCTTACTTGTTTTGGACGTTTGTTATTTCTAGAGAAAGAAGAACAAAAATAGTTGAATATTCATCGTTATTATTATAATCAAATTATCGTATAAAACATATTTTATCTCTGGTTAGTGGATTTCTCTCTCTCAATCTTTTCTTTGGATTTGTTTGCCGTGCCGTTCTCTTTTTCTTTTATAATTTTACGTCTCGTTTAATCACACTATTCGAGTATCTATATGCGCATGCTAAATATCTATCGCTGTTCACATGTTGATAGAGGAAGGGAGAAAAAAAAAAGAAGAAAAAGAGGCATGTTGAGACACAAATGAAAAAGTAGTACAAATGTTGAAATAAGGATGAATATATAGGTATATATTCTTCACTATTTGAAAATTAATGTAGTAGTAAATGTTTTTTGATTTATGCTGTTTATCAGCGACGCTCAGAATGTTTCCTATTCGGTCAGAAGAACGATATTCATCGCCAACTACATGTGGATGAAGAATTTTGTGTTAAAATGTTTTTTGTAGAATTAAAAAAGTTTGTAGTAATTGCATATACAATTGTTTTACTATTCAACTTGATTACGTTATTTTTAACAGTTTTCTTCAGTTAACTGTATAATTCAGACGAGAAACAGAGCTGTGCACACTAGATCAGATGTGAAGGTAAGCTGAGGTTTAAACCAAACTCAAAGTACATGATTTGAAACCGAAATCAACTCTCTGTTTAGCCATACGAAAAGAAGAAACATTCACGTGTCTCACGGATTATAATTACATGGGAAAATCACAGTAGATCGTATAAGAAAAGAATTTTTTTGAGGGCTTTTCGAATTTAGTTAAATTTACAATCGAGATAAGGAATAAAGAATATACCGAAAATATATAGTTCGATAGAGGTATGAAAACTTTATCCGTCCATATTAAGAGAAAAATTGAATAATGTTTATGAGAAATACAGTTAACTGAAGAAAATTGTTAAAAATAACGTAATCACGCTGTACATAATTTACTGCGCAGTTTTATCCAATTCTACGATGAAATTGTTTACCTGTTCGTATCGCTGTATTCACATCATTGTTTCAAGATTTCTGAACTTTATCATTGCAGCGTCACATTCACCTTTGTTTTATAGAAGTGACAAAAGGATGAAAACATAAACTACGATAGGTTAGAACAAAACAAATATGTGCCTTAATACAGTAAATTCTCTAACTGCGAACAATTTAGACATGATCATCTTTTGTTAAACGGAAGCTATACTATGGGATTGTCAGTAAACTAAATTGAAAATGGCATTCCTTTTGTGTACTTATAGAATACAGAAAATATTCCATATTACTTATCGTAGATATAATAGAAAAACTTAAGTTTTGGCTTGACTCCAGAGCAATCGAACTTGAGAATGCAATTTTTTTGTCTTCAAACCAAAACCTAATCACTTTGATAAATATCAGACATAAATGATGGAAAGGTACAAACAGAAAAAGGTAGCATTACAAACGCGAAAAGATCGCATTTAAAAAACCGTATAAGAATATTTTGTTTGAACAGTTACTAATCTCATCTAAAATCAGTTCAGATGACCAAACTGCCAGACGAACCGTACTCAGGTAATTCATAGTAGAACTCACGGAAAAATGTGCATTATATTAAGTAGATGTTCATGACACGGATTTTAATTCGTACCTATTATGTACGATTGATTGCCATATATTCCATAGTGAGAAACTTACTCTTTTAGGATCTGGCCGTGAATTATGATTTTGAATAACGCTGATCTAACACTAACTAAGAAACCTTGAATATATCTCCAAGTTCTTGTGACCGATCTTCCGTCACAACTTCTCCAGTTCCATGAATCCTCCTTAAGTTCGGTCATCTTCTTTCTTTTATAGTTAGCATTAGAAAAATTTCCTAAGAGAAAAGTCGTATAATTTTTGTGCTCCTTTTCTGAACGTCAACTTCCACAGAGAAACAATTTTTTTTGCCAGTATTCGGCTCTAAAACTAAAACCTTAAAAGAAAGAAAACATCTGTCCGTTACGTGGACAAGTCGCTAACACTTTTCTGGTCCTAATCACTACACCTGGACCTTTTGATTAAAAAAATTTTGAAGTTACGGGTTTCTGCCCTATTTTTAAAATTTCAATAAAAACTTGAGTTTTTAATATGAAGGGTTGATTCTAATGTAGTTCGACAGAGAACATTAACTCCTTAATTATTAATAAGGAGCAAAACTTTTCATGGGTCCCACATGAAGTTTGACGCAGAAATTTAACTTTCACCTTCCCGAAGAAATTTTATAGCTAAAAGTACTTTGAAAAAAACCCTTACAGCCAGTTTCGCTCGAAGCAAGCATTTTGAAGCAAAACTCTGGATACAAAAGTTGTTCAAAATCGAATTCCGAAGTCCCGCTTTTTTCAAACTTGTCTTTTTTTTAGTTTTTAAACTGAAAAATACGAAATTTTATAATTTTCAAAACCGTAAAATTTAATTTAAAAAACAAAAAAAGACAAGTTTGAAAAAAGCGGGA